AAAAGAGGCAGACCAATTTCTACAAAAAAGAAGACACAAATATGTATTCCTTCTACTTCAAATGCTCAGAATGATGTAACCGGTAACAATCATAGTAAATATATCGGAATAAGCAAAGGTGTTATATCCACACCATAAATTATTTGTCATGACAAATAAAATGTCGTTACCCTATTACATTTAAAGCATACCACAAATATAATTTCGTAAATTTGTTTATTTATTTATAGATTATTTGGATTCTGGAGATGCTGTATATGTTTGCTCAGTATGTAAAGCTAAGGTGTGGCAGGGAGAAGCAATTCGAGGAAATAAGGATTTAAAGAAAACATGTTATTCCATTTGTTGTTACAATGGAAAAGTTGAACTACCCAGTCTGATTCACCCACCTCAGTTGTTGCTTGATTTATATAGCGGTCTTTCGGAAAAAAGTCAAAACTTTATACAGAATATACGTCGATACAATATGATGTTCGCATTCACATCTATGGCTGGAAAGATTGATCACACCGTTAACTCAGGAGGTGGTCCTTATGTTTATCGAATGCATGGCCAAAATTATCATATTGCAGGCAGCTTACTTCCCGAAGAGGGTGAATCACCAAGATTTTGCCAGTTGTACATGTATGATACAGATCATGAGGTTCAAAACAGATTCAAATCATGCGAGTGTGTGAATACCCTATATTATATAACTCCATTAGTTATATATATATATATATATATATATATATATATATATATATATATATATATATATTACTACAAAAAATTTATATCCATTATTTTTTTTATTATGTTATTGTAGGTCTAATAAGAAGAAAAAGACCACATCTAATGAGTCCATGGCAAATCCGTTTTCTCTTGAGTTCTGGACTATTCACGAGTTGATGGGCTTATTGGATTTCATTAATCCACTGGCTAAACAATTTAGAATGGCACGTGATCGCTTTGGTTCAAATCCAACAGAGCGTATTAGGTTGAAATTGATTGGGTCAAGAGAAAATGATGGTGGGCAGTATAATCTTCCTACCACAAATGAGGTAGCTGCCCTCATTATAGGTGACATTGATGGGTATGATTCAAGGGATATCGTATTGGAAACGCAAAGTCGACAACTTCAACGTATTAATGAGTTGCATCCTCAATATCTTGCACTTCAATATCCTTTATTATTCCCTTATGCCGAAGATGGATTTCGAGTCGATATACTACATCGTGGTGTTGAAGATCCAGAATCTGATGGACGAATAAGGTTGACCATGCGAGAGTTTTTTGCTTATCGTATACAACAGAGAACCGATGAAATATCATTGATATTACGTTCAAGAAAACTATTCCAACAGTTTTGGTTGATTCGTATACAATGGTTGAAAATGAACGACTTAGTTATATTAGGTTTAACCAGCCAACATTACGCGTGGCACCTTATCGCAACTTGGCCCAGGCAGCTGAAGATGGCATTGAAGATGCTTCTTTGATGGGAAACCGTATTATTATACCATCTTCTTTTACTGGCGGCAGCCGTTACATGCAACAAAACTAATTAGATGCGATGACTCTGGTTAAGTGGTTTGGTTATCCAGATCTTTTTTTAACCCTTACATGTAATCCTAAATGGCCAGAAGTCATTAGATTTGTTGAAGCCGAGAATCTTAAACCGGAAGACAGGCCAGATATTCTGACACGAATTTTCAAAATTAAATTTGATTCATTAATCAGTCAATTGAAGGATGAAAAAACTTTGGGTGAAGTCGGTGGAGGTATCAATCTTATATATTTTTTACTCATTAACATTATAACTTTTCGATAATTTTATCTTTTAACCCTGGTTGCTTTCTTTGCTCACACAGTTGTATATACGATTGAGTTTCAAAAGAGGGGCCTGCCATATTGTCATGTATGTCTGTTTTTGGAAAAAAATTCTAAAATTCCAAATCCCGAAGACATAGACCGTGTTATATGTGCTGAATTGCCAGACAAGGATAGTGAACCCGATTTGTATCAGATTGTTTGTGATAACATGATACACGGACCTTGTGGCAACGATCAACCATTTATGCCGTGTATGAAAAAAGGCAAATGTTCAAAACGATTTCCAAGGGAATATACCGATCATACATATATTGATGAAGATGGTTATCCTATTTACCGGAGACGTAACGATGGAAATAATGTCCTTAAAAACGGTGTTTCTTTAGACAACAGGTATACACAAATCCTTTTCAATGATTTACTAAATTTTAATTCTTTAAATTTGTTTTGTTTTTATGAAATATATTATTATATGTTTAAATACATAAATATCAATAAACAACTTAAATTAAAATGGTACTAATATTTTATTTTTAAACGGATAATGTAATCTATAAAAACATATTACTCATTATATATGTTTTCTTATGTTCTTCCTATGTTAACCTCAAATTATCATTTAATGTTGTTTATGACATTTTTCTTGATTTTTCATAAATGTTGTTCCATATAATAAGATCCTTCTGAAACAATATCAAGCTCACATGAATCTAGAGTGGTGTAACCAAGTTGGATCGATAAAGTATCTTTTTAAGTATATTAACAAAGGACCGGATAGGATAACAGCATCTATTGTTGATCCAACAAAAAAGAAAAAAACAACAGATAGAAAATAACGACCATGACGAAATTGGTGAGTTCTATAACTGTCGTTATATTTCCGCATGTGAGGCATGTTGGAGGCTTTTTGGGTATGATATTCATTATCGAACACCGTCTGTCGAAAGGTTGTCATTTCACCTCGAACACAAACAACCTGTTGTTTTTAAACCAAACCAACATCTTAATCAGGTTGTTTCTAAACCGACTGTCGCTGCTTCTCAATTTTTAGCTTGGATGGAATGTAACAAGCATGATGAAGATGCACGGAAGTTGTCATACGTTGAATTCCCAACTAAATATGTTTGGAATAAATCAGATAAGATATGGACAAAAAGAAAAACCAAGTCCAAGGCACTCGGTCGATTAAACCACGTTTCTCCCAAGGCTGGTGACATTTACTACCTACGGATTTTGTTGAACAAAATCAAGGGTCCTACATGCTATGAAGATATCAAGACAATTAATGGAATTGTACATGACTCTTACAAAGATGCTTGCTATGCTCTTGGTCTATTAGATGATGATAGAGAGTACATTTCGTCAATAAACGAAACACATCATTGGGCCACAGCTTCTTTCTGCCGGTCTCTCTTTGTTATGTTGATTACATCTGATAGTTTGTCAAGTCCTGCTCATGTTTTTGAAGAGACATATCAATGTCTTTCTGATGATGTCATTCACGTTCGTGAACAAGAAATCGGCGTCAGAGGTAAATACACTAATTTATAGTTATTTTTTATTCAAACTAATTAATTTCTTCTTGAAAAGAAAATCAATTAATTTCAACTTTAAATAAAACGGATAAAAACTAATTAACAAAAGGTCATATTTAAATGGTCAGGAATTGCATTTGTATTAATTGCCCTAAAATTTCGTTTTCCCTTACATTTTAATTTGATTCCAAAACAACCCAATTATTGTTCATATACAAATGGTCCTTGGACGGAACTATATTGCTTAAAAATGACCTTTATGAAAATATTTGACATAAAACATAATCAACAATTATTTTTTGCCATTTTCACAAAAAATTGTTCGTTTTCCATCATTTATACATTATGCATGTAAAACTGACAAAAAAGCAACTCGCGATTACATCATTTATAGTCGTTATAAAGGTCTTAACATAAGCCATTTACATAGCTATAACTATATTTAATTTCGTTGTTTATTTTTTTTTCAGGCCTGAAGTTAAAAGAGGATGCAATTTTCAACCTTACGTTGTCATACATCGAGAAATCATTATTGAGCTGTGGATTGAGTTTGAAGCAAATACCAAATATGCCGTTTCCTGATCATAGATACATTCAAGAGTCATGCAATATGTTAATTCAAGATGAGCTTAACTATGATCCTGCTATTATTGAAGTTGAGCATCAAGATTTGTATTCCAAATTAAATGTCGACCAAAAAAATGTTTATCACACCATTATGAATGCGGTTAACAACAAACAAGGTGGTGTCTTTTTCCTTTATGGTTACGGAGGAACCGGAAAAACATTTGTTTGGAAGACCTTGTCTGCTGCTATTAGATCCAAAGGTGAAATTGTTCTCAACGTTGCTTCAAGTGGAATTGCAGCACTATTGCTCCCTGGTGGTAGGACAGCGCATTCAAGATTTATTATCCCAATTAACTTGACCGAGATTTCATTTTGTTCTATCGCGCCAGACAGTGATCTTGCTGCACTACTGAACAAAGCGAGACTTATCATTTGGGATGAAGCTCCGATGATGCACCGTCATTGTTTTGAAGCATTTGATAGGACACTTAGAGACATTATCCGTTCATCTGACAGGAATAAAGCGTTTGGCGGCAAGACCATTGTATTTGGAGGTGACTTTAGACAAATTCTTCCAGTAATACAAAGAGGTAATCGTTCGGATATTGTGCAGGCATCGTTACATTCATCAAGATTATGGAGTGAATGTACAGTTTTATGTTTAACGGTAAACATGAGGCTTCAGGTTGGTTGTCGAACTAATGATTTGGATGAGACAAAAGCATTTGCAGAATGGATTCTTAAAATTAGTGAAGGTAATATTGGTGGTCCTAATGATGGTGAAGCTGAAGTTGAATTTCCAGAAGATGTTATCATTCGCTCTACAGGTGACCATATTCATTCAATTGTATCGACCATTTATCCTTCTTTTGAAAACCATCTTGATGACCCATCATATTTTCAAGATAAGGCTATTTTGGTTCCTACAAATGAAGAAGTTGATGCTATCAATGACTACATGTTAGGATTGATGAAAGACGAAGGGAAAACTTATCTGAGTTCGGATTCTTTATGTGAGACAGAGTCAGCAGATTGTTTTGAGGAATCAGTTTACTCTCCGGATGTACTGAATGCTTTTAAGGCATCTGGAATTCCCAACCATAAACTCACATTAAAAACAGGTGTTCCGGTCATGTTGCTTCGTAATATTGACCAAACCAAAGGTCTATGCAATGGTACAAGGTTACAAATAGTTAGGCTTGGAAAACATGTCATTGAGGCACGCATTATAGCTGGTAGATTCTTCAATGAGACTACTTATATACCTCGCATGAAGTTAACTCCGTCTGATAAAAGAATCCCCTTCCGTTTTCAGCGGAGACAATTTCCCGTAGCTGTTTGTTTTGCCATGACCATTAACAAGAGTCAAGGGCAGTCATTATCAACTGTTGGATTGTATTTACGTAGACCCGTCTTTACTCATGGTCAGTTATATGTAGCTGTATCTCGCGTGACAAGTAAAAAAGGCTTGAAGGTACTCATATGTGATGAGGAAGGTCGTCAAACCAATAAAACAAAAAATGTTGTATACAAGGAGGTCCTTCAACGATTATAGATAATCATACATTTCTTTTTATTTATTTAGACATATCAATATAATCAATAAAACGACGTGTCTTTATGTTACTTTATCATATTTAATTTTATTGTGTACGTTTTTTATGATATCATCTTAAATAATCGGGGTCCTTGATTGTGTTTTCTTTATATGTTTTACACCCTTAAATCAAATGTGTTAATTTAATAAACATATGAAACAGTCCAAAGTCTAAAACCTGCAAAAGACAGCTTTTTGTTTATTGAATAAACAATTATTTTCCTTTGTTTCTTATAAGTAAATAAATTCATATTATTGGTAACGTACATTTAAAATTCATATTATTGGTAATGCAGGGGAACGCATAAATAAAATACAAATATATATAAATATTGAAGAATAATTATAAAAAAATCAGGATTATTGGTATTATTGAAATATGTAGAAAATACAGTGAATCAAGAAACATACAATACACAAAACTTTCACAAACCCTGATTTATCATGCACCGATTCAACTATTGCCCGAACTTCTACAATTCTATGTGCAATGGTTGTCATTTAATGAAGGCACGATTTTTAGCTCTAAATTTCAACATAATCAGACTTCAACATGTTAGTAATTCTTTTTAAAAAAACAGGATCTTTGAAGCTAAACAAAGATATATCTAATTAGAATACATAATTGAATTTAATCAATACTTAATTAGGTTGAAGCAAAACCACACCTATGTCAAGCACCCTTGAAAACTGAAATGATTGGAATGTCAAATTAAATTAACCATAGCTTTTTTTCTGGTTGGTCCTCCCTATTATATACCATACATGAAAACAAACTCGTGAGAAAATGGGTTCCAGTAGTATAAGCCAAAAGGGTGAGAAAGAAACATGTATAAGGATGGAAATGTAACTTTATGCTACATTATCATTTTTTACAAAAATATTTATTATTCTTCTCTTTGGTAGCTTCCATTTATTGATGTTCTTCCTCATTTACACAGGGAACAGAAATGTAACTTATTCTAATAATAGTAATAACTGAACCTGCAGATGTTCCTCTTGCAAGTCCTTCATTAATGGCACGAACTGGAACCCATAAAACACTCTCTATATTACTTGCCCAATCAGGCAACTCTATGCTACCATTCTTCAAGGTTAATTTCGTAATTTCCTTAACAAAATCATTATCGTTCTTTTTATCCTCTAATCCGTATTTCTCCATTTCAATGGGAAATGACTCTTCTATCCTCAATCCAGGACCAGTATCAATATGTAAAGCAGCTCCTTTTAGGGAATAATAAATTGGTTTGACAATTATACCCACCCATTGAGGCTCATTCATTAACAATGCAGACGACACTGCTGCAGCAAGATCAACAAGTGCCCTTGGTTTGAACACCTAAAGTTAATAAACAAAACTTAGCCACATTATAATATGAAATTTGTAAAATGACCAATCTACCCCTGTAAGTACATCATACTTTAGAAAGAAACAACCCCAAAAAAATGTTGGATACATAACAACCTACTTTATTTCCACCGAACATCATACATCTGAGTGCCCATTTTCCATGATATTTGACAGGTGTATCGCCAACTGTATCTCTTTCTTCTTCCCTAACAATCATACATTGGTATCTGTAGCCACTGAGACAATCCAATTTTTCCATTTTATGTATAATGGCGCTTGTACATATCATGGATCACTCACGGATTTCCCATTGGATGTCAAATTGCAGTGTTGGAAGCATACATCTCGAGATAATAGTCAAAAACTTGGATTAAAATTGGCAGAAAAAGATTTTTTTTGTTTAAGTAAGTCAAAGCTCTTTTATATTTTGATAGAATTAGTTCATAAGGGTTAATAAAGATGATATGATTACTGTTAAAGGATTTTAAAATAAGCAAATAAGTGATGCAAATGCATTATCACACAAAGATAGATGTCAAGAAATTCTTATTATGATGCCCCTGGTCAAAATCCAAACTTGCGTTGAAGCTTTTGCGGATGGATTATGTAATTTGTCACATGAAAACGATTTTATAGCGATTTGATTGGAAATTACTCAGGGATTTTGAGGGAAAATGTTGCGATCGTGATCATACTCAAGTACAAAATCGAGATTTATTCTTCAAAAAATTGAAGATACGATGCTGATTTTTAGTGCTATCATGCATACAGATCATAAACAAATATAAAAATGTACAAGATTAGGGAGGATTTTTTTTATAAAAATTGGAAAGAAATCTCACAAAAACTATGAAAATCAGGAAAAAATATATCACGAATCAGTTATAAATATCTAGGAAATTAGGGACAAAAACTCATTATTTTGATCTTTTAGAACATACCTCACCAATCCCTCTCAGTTGTCATTCCCAAGTATCCGATTTCACCATCTTCTTAGCCTTGCACCTGTTGCTGACTCACTGAGTCCCTGACTGGCACCCGTTCATACTACTCTCCGAACCTCCGTCCTCCATTGTTGCCGTCATCTTCGCCAATTTCACTGTTTTCTGTTATTCTCCACGTCTTCTTTTCTCTTCAAAATTAGATCTTCAAGATCAGGTACGTTTTTTTCTTTTGAAAACTCTGTCTTCATCGTCTTCACTTTATACACTGTATTATTGATTATTGAATCAGGTTGTAAGTTTTAAGTGATAAATAACAAACATATGTGAATGTTCCTAAAATATCTAGGGTTAATAATGTATTCGTATGAAAAACAAGTTATTTTCGTTTTTAATTTTAATTCATTAATATCATATTAAATATAAATATTTATATATGTTGTTTGTTTTTAAATTTTAAATTGACGTGTTTGAATTGTATTTTTTTTAAATTGTAGGAACTTGTGTTTGTAACTTTGTATTAATTTTTTTGTATATCTAAAATGAAAAGTCTACTATTAAAAAATTTCGGTTATCCGATTTTAAAGATGTGGAGGTCTCATCATTTTTATATTTAACAAAACTTTAAATCAAATAAAAAAATTTAAAAAAAATGCATCGTTAATTTAATATTTACCATCATTTTACATTCGCAATTAATGCTTTTGACTCATTTTCAAACTAATATTTCGTAGCCTGCATGGAGGGTAATTCATTTTCTATATTTCTTCATATATTTTTGCAATCTTAGGTTCGGGTTATATATATATATATATATATATATATATATATATATATATATATATATATATATATATATAACTTCAAACAATATTTGTTTTTTGTCCAGATAAATGGCTCAAACCACAATTGCTAATTGTAGCAACTCTTCGTCATCGATCATCTACTCCGAAAATGAAGATTTCCTTCATAATTTTGATTTCAATAGTATTGCTGATCTCCAACAAGTACATCAGGTATATATAAATCACTTTCATTTACAATATATAAATTATGAGAAATTGGTTTTGTATTATTTATATCTTATTCCTTGATTATTATTATTTTATACTAAAATTTAAACTTCCATTAATATTTTTTAGGAAAAAACTTTAATTGTTGTCGGTACGATTAAGCAAGTATGTGCTGAAGGGGAATGGTACTGTTATACTTGTATTAGATGTCAACAAAAAGTCATGAAACAAATTTTAATCCATCATGATCAGTCTCAAGATAAAGAAGTTTTTTATTGTAACACTTCAAGCTGCATAAACAAAGTCATTTCTGTTGTTCCCAGGTTTTGAAACTTATTTTATAAATATTATTATATTGTTCTGTTAAATTATATAAATTTATATTACTAAATATGTTTACATCAATGCTTTCAGTTTTAAAATCACCATTATAGTGGAAGATATTACCGGTTCGGTGTCACTTACTTTATATGATTCTGACACAAAGAAGCTTATAAGAAAAAACACACAAGAGTTGGTTCATGAGTTCTATAAGGTTATACATATTAACTTCATTTACATAAAACAAAATTATTATTTTGTATATCTATTTTTATAAACATTCTTTTTTTTGAGGTTGGTAATAATGAAATTTATCCATCTGCTCTAAATATACTATTGGAAAAAAAGATGGCGTTCAAAATTCAAATTACACATGACAATTTGAATAACAAAACAGAAGGTTATGCTATCTCAAGGATCAC